CGATTGTTTTTTCAAAACGCCGAAAATCACTGTACTATAGACTATTCTTGCAGTGTTACAATTTTTCAATTTGAAGAAAAAGTAAAATAACATACCAAACACCAGAATAAAAAAAAATTACAGTAGCAGTGAACAATACTCAAGATCTCATACCTTGCATCTTTACTGTGTGGAAGATGATAATAGCTAATTATGGTCATTGGTCACCAAGTGAAGAAGAAGTCTTTGTTCATTTGCTCCCAAAAATTTCGTTGCTGCAGCACAAAAAGGACAAAAACAACGGAATAATCAAAACATGGTGGCTCATGAATAACATCAAGCACCTTGGGTGAACAATCCATTGATCTTTGACAACTCAGAAATCTCCATAAGATAGTTTAGTTGAAAACAAAGATAAAATTCATCTAAGAGACGGGACACATGTGTAAACCAAGTACAATTACTAAAATGTATGTAAAAATGTAGTAAAAATTTATATTCAAAATGAGTGGAAACTAACAGATTGTGATTATGAACAGTAATAAAGCAAAAACAAGAAAAAATCCAGCACAATGAACCTGAATCTTGGTGAACAAACAACATGCAACAACTTTTTGTAAATTAAAGAGGAGACGATTAAGGGAGAATTACAGAGTGAACAAAGAAGGAAAATCGGAAGTAGAAGTGAAGCGACATCCCACAAAATAAAAAGAAAAATAGGTTTTGCCGGAAAAGAAAACTCGTGGCAGCAATTGAAGCGTAGTACAATACACGCGTCCACAGAAGAAACTAAACAAAAATCAGCAATAGTGTACAACCCACCCAACATTTTGTACAACAGCCTATTGCTGTGTTAGTCCTACTCTTCGTTGGCTTCTATAATAGAGTAATACTATAGTATCTTATTAAACATATGACTGAATTTAGATATTTTTATCCTCGCAAACAGAGAATTTTTCAAAAACCATTTCTATACCTTCGTGAGATCGCAATAAGTTATTGTTATTATTCAACCATAATAAAAAATTATTTTTCCATGTTAAATTGGTTCGTAATGATAAATTTAGTTAAGTAATTTTATTGAATATTGATACAAAGATCTAAGTTGAGTGATTTTATTGATACAACACAAAGTTTAATTACTTTACTAGATAGATTTCTAAAGTTAAGCGATCTTTTGAGATATTAACCCCCAAAATTGATAGTCAAAAAAATTTAAGATGCCAGACATTTCAAAGTATGACCAAACAATAGAGGTGTAAAGTAATGTTTTGGACATTTAGGGATCGTTTAGTGTGATAGATAAGAGGAGTTACTTTTAGAATAATTTTTAAGTGATCTTCATTTCGTTGTTTGGTTGCAAAGGTTGGGATAAGTTATCTCTCCTTGGGGTGGAAGAGTAATCCCAAGATAACTTATCCTAGAATAAAGTATGTAAAATAATAAAAATACCCCCCTCCCCCGTCCCTTAAACTCTCTTTTGTACACCACTTTACATTCATGAGTATTAACATAATTTTTAACAACATATATAATAACATTCACAACCTTAATTATTTGTTGTTCTTATGATAATACATTTTTCTTTTAAAAAATACATTTTAAATACAATTTTTATTTATAAAATATATTATAAGTTGAATTTATTTGTCTAATTCTTATGTTTATTTATATTTTGATTTCTCTTAAATGTTCACTCCATTACTAAATTACATATTTTTAAGTAAATAGTTTACTACTCACTTAAAAAATACTCCATATTTTATATATCAATTAAAACATAGATAACTTTAAAATATAGATAATTTTAATAATAAAATTTCTTTTACTTTAATAACTTAAAATAGAAGTTTTATTTTTAAGCTAAGGGCCCGTTTGGCCATGCGATATGGAATCATGATATGATATCATAATATGAAATCATGAGATGAAATTGAAGTTTTGTTTGGACATACGATATTGAATTTTTGTGTTGTATATTTTCTCATAAACATAAGAATCCCATAAGTTGTAAAAGTATTAAAATAGCCCTAATTGTTTATTCAATCTTACCAAATTAATAAATAAAAAATTATAAAATCGCATAATAAATTATTACAAAGCTATTTTTTCTCCACTTAAGTAACTGTTTCATCTAACTTTAATTGATCAAACTTTAATTCAGTAAAAAAATTGAACATAAATTATAGTGTACTAGTCTTTAATATAATTTTTCCACATAATACGGACAATCTCTTCACGTTGAACTTGCATTTTTCTATCATATGACCGAGAAGATGAACCAACATTGTTACTTTGAGCCATTTGTTGGTCAATATCATCCGCAACTATATTTTCATGCTCATAGACCATAAATATTTCTTCACTCCTTTAGTATTCTCGCAAATAATTATGTAACACTGCACAAACTATGACAATTTTCACTTGTGTGTCAATATCATAATTATTCATGCCTTGTTTCACTTGTGTGCAATTACACATTTTCAGTGCCTTAATTTTGTGCTAAAAATCAAATATATTGGAAGTAGTGATTATCAAACATACATCACCAATTTTGTATTTTTTTCATATTAAATTGCTTTAAACATTTTCATATGTAGCCGAAAGAGACGTTTTTTAGGCCAAACTCATCGGTAGCCCCCTAAAGTTGGCACTAAGTTTCACTTAGACACCTCAACTAGGTGATATTCATTTTAGACACCTCATGTAGGGTCTCGTTGTGTCATTTATACATTTTTTGCTGACATGTCAAAGTGAATGTGATACACTCAACAATAGAGCGTGAAAGACTCAATTTAGCTATTTTTTATTTTATTTTCTCTTCTTCTTCTCCATTTTTTTAAGCTACCACCTCCCACCATTTTTTGAAGCTTAAACTCCTTCAATGGAGGTCAAATTTTTTATTCAAATCCGTTTTCAAGTCATTTTTGTTCTTCTTCATTGTATTACTTTTCTAAATCTACAATCACCTCCCTCGACCTCTTTTACGGAAAAAATGGATACCAACACTCATATTTCATGTTTATTCTCTTTCTTTCTTCCTCTCCCTCTTTTCTTCCCACAAAACAACACTATAAAGAAAGAAAAGAAAGATCCGAAACAATTTAAAAAGTTGATTAAAAAAAGTTAAAAAGTTGTTAGGTATAGTAGAGAAGACAACTACCTTCGGAGGAGGGGGGGGGGGGTAAATTGATTTTTTTAGAATTAATATTTTTATTTTATTTACTAAATAGATTTTAAAATAATTTTTAACTTGAAATTACACATGTAATCATTTAATTGGTTGTTTGCCACATCATCAATGAGTATATTACACTCTGCTTCAACCTTTTGCTTATTGTCGAAAAAGTGTCAAAATGACATAGCGGGATCCTACATAAGGTGTCTAAAATGGACATTGCCCAATTGAGGTGTCTAAGTAAAACTTGGTGCCAACTTTAGGGGGCCACAAATGGGTTTGGCCTTTTTTTTTATTATGAAAAATTAAAAAAGTATTACTCCCTCCGTTCTTATTTATATTCATCAAATCAACTTCTACTTTATCATTTATATTCACCAAATTTAAAGTAATAATAAATTTTATGTTGGTGAGAATAATAAATTTTAAAAAGTAATGATATGATTATAAATTTTATTTACATATGAAATAAATAGTTAGTAGATATAAATGTGGGGTTGTTTTAACAAAATATAAATTTGTGGGTCAATTTTTGTATTTAAAAATTCCAAATTATGATATGTAATTTCCATATCATGGTTTTTGGAGAATATGGAATAATCAGCATGAAATTGCATGTCCAAACGCTGATTCCATCTCACGATTACATATCATGATATGGTATCGCATGGCCAAATGCCTACTAAATAAGATGGAAGTTTTAATTTTAAGAATAAATAACTAAAGCTCGCAAAGAAAATATATATTTAAAAAAAAAAACTAAATAAGATGGAGGGTATTAAGATTTAATGTTTCACTAATGACAAATGACACTGCAAAGCATGCATTTAAACAAAAATTAAGACCAGATACATTGTTAACATAATACATAGAGTCATGTTGACCAAACTCCATTTGCCAAATTTATTTCAAAGTGATAAGTAAAACATAAAATTTCAAGAGGATTTCTTGAAAGCACAACGCTTGATCTCCTCAATTAACCCGATGAGCTGTGAATGAGAGGAACCACCTTCTTCAGTGGCACTTTTGAGCTTCTTTGCCATCAACTTTGCATTTTCTCTAATTTTTCTACTTTCCTCTGAATTATTCATTAAACGCTTGACGGCCAACTCTATCTTCTCTCCTGAAAGGGGTGGACACGATAATATAAACCCCGGATTCCACACATCTGCTCCAATTCCAATAGCAAGGCCAAGTGTCTCCAAAAGCTTGTCGGTATAGAAGTTGTCTGAGAAAAGTGGCCATGTGATCAATGGAACACCTATGGCTAGAGACTCAAGTATAGAGTTCCAACCACAATGAGTTAAGAATCCACCAATTGCTCGATGTTTCAGGATTAATTGTTGTGGTGCCCAGCCTTGGATGATAAACATCTTTTCCCCAATCATTTCTTTGAAACCATTACGGCTCCAGTCAGAATGCTCATCTTTCTCGTCTACTTCATTTTTGTCCTGCTCCCTAAAAACCCAAATAGTTGGACAGTTGGCAGCCTTCAATCCAACAGCCATTTCCTTAAGCTGATCATCGGAAAATCTTATCATGCTTCCAAAGCAAACAAAGAGAACGGAGTTAGGTTGTTGATTTTCAAGCCAATTGAAACAATCACCGTACCCTTTCCAAGGGTCAGAACATGAATTAATATTCGAATTGGAAATTTGTTTAGAACTAATTTCCGCTTCATATTTGTTGATAAACAGAGCAAGTGGACCTATATGCCACCCTTTTACTCCTCTAGCTTTTTCGTAGAGTTGGGCAACGCCAGGTTCCAGCTCAGAGCAAGTGTTATGAATAATACCATGGCTACGAACCTCAGCTTGTAAAACGTCATCTACTGTCTTTGTGTACTCAGTTTCCTCTTTAAGAAAATCTTCAATCTCTGAGACTTTCATTTTGATGTCGAGAGGCAAACCAGGAATCAAAAACCTTTCAGAATCCGACGCCACATTCTTGTAAGGTTTAAATTCCCTAATTAAAACCCAAGCACATTGATGTATGGAAGTGGCTGGTTGAAAAGAAAATCTCGGAATTTGCATCTCCTCAGCTAAATCAACAGTCCAAGGGAAGAACATATCGGAAACAATGCAGTTTGGATTGATCTCCCGAATTAGTTGCTCCATAATCTTTTGGAGCAGAATAAACCCATAGTGAACTTTGCCAACTATTTCCATAGAAGGGCTTGCGATGAAGTTTTCAATTCCTACAGGTAATCCAACTTCCTCAGACGGAAATTGAATTGTCCGGACAGTAATATTGCTGCCCGAAAAGAGACGGTCTCTATCGACAGAGGACTGAAAAAGAAGAGCATTATGCTGAGGGGCAATGATAGTAACTTTGAGGCCATGGAGGGCGAAGAGTCTAGCAATATGTACCAATGGAGTTATATGACTCGTCATGGCGTATGGTATGAACACAACATGCGGCATTGCAGTTTCTTCATTCTGTTCCATCGCCATTAACAAGTTGTTCCTTCACTTCAATTGACTCGTATATATATATATATATATACAGAGGCGGAGCCAAAATTTCATGTCAGTGGGTTCTAAATTTTTAAAAAGAACAACGATTTTAACCTAAAGTAACAATCATCAAATTAACGAACATACAAGTATTTAATTCACTAAAAAGGACGAAATACTTAAACATTATATATATATATATATATATAAGCATTATCATTCAATTGCACTTGACGAGTTGTCATATTTTGAAAACGATCAATGATCACATCATTAGGTACAATTTAAAAATAATTCATCTTCTATATAACAAACTAAACAATCATTTAAAAAGTCATCGCCCATTCTGCTTCGCAAGTCATTTTTAATGAATGATAAATATTTTTTTTAATTCAAATTTTGAACATTTTTAGTATAATCTCCAATATTGTTCTAAGTGAGATTAAAATTGAACATTTTTAGTGTGGAGATTAAATTTTATCTTGCGACCAACACTTTACTTTTTCTTGATATATTTTTCCCTCTTGAGATGAGAGAGGCCAAGGCTTTTTCCTAAGGACAGAATCAGGTCGTTACAAATCTAAAAAAATACGTTCGTATAATTTTGTTAGTATTCTAATTTTAAGATTAAAGTAGAATTCATTGTTAAATAAAGTTATGAACTTACCTTTTCCTTTGTAAAAAAATAATATTTATGTATGTTATGTTAAAATTTGATATAAGCCCAATGATAATTACCCAAAAATCTAAGTTCTACGGATCGAAAAACGAATTAGGGGAGTAAAATTCTTACCTTTAGTGCTAGAATAGGTGGAAAACCTTCAAGAAATATCCCTGGGTCGTTTCTTAGCTCTCAAGAACGAACTTATGCAGAAAATAACATTTTTGGGGGTTTTTACCCTATTTAAGTCGCGACTGTCCCGCTACAGCGGCCCCGACCTGTCGGCTTGCACGGAAACAGAGAGTCGAATTAGAGTTTGAAACCCTCATTTCACAACACATCTTCACCCCATGACATTCAAAAACAACTTGTTCACGCTAAGATCAGTTTCGGGAGTTCCAGTCGCCTGAATTCGATTTCGTAAAGTCGTATGGGTTCCTTAACGTCTTAGCTATCCACTCATGTGATAAAATTCATAATTAGATATCTCATTAATTACTAGATTTCCCTAGACCCCACTAACTCAGATTTCGTCCAAATCTGGACTAGGCTAGGAATTTCCAAGTAACTACCCAAAAGTTTTCTGGCTCCAATTCTTTCCCCATTGGCTTTTTCCTAACGACGGAATCAAGTCGTTACAAATCTAAAAAAATACGTTCGTATAATTTTGTTAGTATTCTAATTTTAAAATTGAAGTAGAATTCATTGTTAAATAAAGTTATGAACTTACCTTTTCCTTTTTAAAAAAAATTGTATTTATGTATGTTATGTTGAAATTTGATATAAGAGTATTATGTTAAATGTTTGAACTTTTTTTCATTTTTGCTCTCATTTACATTTTTCTGTGATAAATTCAATAAAGTTAAATTTTCTTAATCAAACTATACGTGTGGCTTTAAATACTTCCTACGTTCCTTTTGTATGTTATCCTTATTAAAAATAGATAATCTTTAATAGTAGTTGCCATTTAAACAAAACCAACACGTACATAAATAACATTATTTTTCCTATTTTACCTTTGAGAGTTATTAGTCTTGAAAATATGACTTTGACAGACATTAAAAACTATACAAAAAGTACAATAAATTGCAATTTTTTACATATCAATATGATGTAAAAATACATCATAAAATGTTAGTCAAAGTTCTTATAGTTTAACTCTAAAAAAGAAAACCATGACAATTAAATATGGACGGGGGAAATATTATTTACTGGTCAAAAAATAAACTACATGTATATCACAAAACTATCCATATTAAATTGAATGTATACATATAGTTCTATAATATATATGTGTATTTCAAATCGACTTACTCAGTGTATATTCTATATTCTTTTCTGCCATTTGAGTCTGATGTATATATCATGTATACCAAATCAACTTGTTCTACTATTTTCAGATTGAACAAATTGTTATGTACATTATCTCATATATATCCAAACCAAAAGGTCCATACAACATGTGTATGCAAATCAAACGACAATAAAACTTAAAGCAGATTGTATGCATGCAACAAACTTGTAGGTGTGTATAAAATATGTATACAAATTTAGACTGCAATAAAACTCAATAAATCCGTATATGTATATATCAGGTGTATCAACTCAAATTGTGATCGATATACATTTAAAGGACATAATAAACTTTTAAGAGACATTATGTATTTCAATATATAAAAATTAATAATCATGTATTGTATATATAAAATTATAACTTAGTATACACAATATTAACTAGTAAAACAATCACTATTATTTATAAACATATATACATTCAAATTCATCCTTGTGTATGACAAATTATTGAGTATTCCTAATAAAGTTTGGACAATCCCTTTTAGTTCGGTATATGACCACTCATGATTAAATTGTCTTTTTGCTCATAAATCATTGCCGAAGTCTCGATTTCTGAACTGAAAATCCAAATTGAAAGGAGTTCAACATAAGTACAATTGACCAGAGTTGAACTAAATTTTGGAAGCTCATGACTTCTTAGTTTGAGTAGGTACATAAATATATCGTTTAACTTAGTCTGAGCTCTATGCATTCTTATTTTGGATGTGTACAAGTAGACACTTAAACTTGTATAAAGTTAAGCAAGTAAACACATATTTTATGTGGCATAATACACATAAGACACCACGTAGGATGCGAATTGTTATGTAGGACGCCAAGTAGAATGTATGTGTCTACTTGTTCAACTATATACAAATTTAAGTTTCTACTTGTGCACATCCAAAGTTGCAGGCATAAACAATAGATAAAACCAAGTTAAATGACACGTTGATATATTATGTCTATTTTTAATTTGTAGAGAAATTATAGAATATAATTTATTTATTTTTTGTAAAATGTTATATGGTAAATCAAAATATAAATATTGGAGAAATTGTTGTGAATCAATATGAGAGATTTATGGATAAAAAAGGAAAGATTTTATGAGGACAGAGAGATAAACCTGAAAGAAGCGAGATTTTAGGAGGAGAAAAAGTAAAAATTACATTAATTTCTAGTATTAAAAGCTAATTACTTTATATTTTTTTCCGGATACATCAGGAAACTTGCGGATACATAGCTCAGGGATTACGAATGATACATTACTTAATGGGAGGGATGTATCCGAGAGGGGATAAGGATGTATCCGAGAGGGGAGGGATCAGTGGCCACCTTAAGAAATTTTCGCAACTCCTTAACCACTAAACTAAACCTTCAACTTGTTCTAAGAGGTGTCAATACTTGTGTATATATATTTATTTATTAAATCAAAATTTTAGCTCTATATATGATGTAATTTTCTAGCGAAGGGGTGTCGTGGCTCCGGCCCAAGGAGGGATGCATCCGGAGGGGATATGAATGTATATGAGAGGTGATAGAGATGTATCGAGAGATGATATGGATGTATCCAAGAGAGATTTTTGTAATTTTTTTAAATGATAAATTTTTTAGAGACTATGTTAAGAAAACATGTTTATTTATGTAATTTTCCAAAAATAATTGAATTTACAAAATAATTTTTGGAGTAACTATTTTCTACTTTTATTAGCTTAAAAAGTAAAAAATGGCCATTTTGTGCCAACTTTTAAAAAGAGGGCTAATAGATGTCAATTCCTTCCCTTAGTACAGCATGCCAATTTTCTTCATGCTTCTATGTTTAGATACAAATTGTGTGTTGGTCACAATATTCTTTTCTAAATATGTTTCTGGATTGCTAAAGTAGTTTTTTATTTACTCAATCTGAATGGAAGTATAGATCTTCAATGTGATCTAATATTAATTTTATAGAACTGAAAATATTTTAATTTCTTAGTAACACATAGTTGTAATATTCATTTCTAGAAAATAAAGAATGTCAATTAACAATTTTTTATTAAATCCAAATTGTAGACTATTTTTTAAGAAATGAACAATATATTTGCTCTAAATTACAAATTTAAGAAATACCATATTTATAAAATAAAAGGGTATTTGAACAATTATGGCTAAAATCATTGCGGCCAAAATGACGTTTCGAATTGATATCCTACTTTAAAATTAATGCACTATCAATCTTTTTGGGTGCTCTGAAAAATAGAATAAAATAACAGAATTTTATTTTAAAAAAGGAAAAATCTTTTTTGCCAGAAAATTTGGTCAGAATTTGGCTAGAATGATATTTTATTTATGTTATTTTACTTTTTAAAATATTTTTACTCTTTTAACTTTAATACATTTTAACCAAAAATGGAAAAAGATCAGTTTATTTTAAAATAAAAAAAATATTATAATTTTTTAAAATTTTCTGGCCAAATTCTAGCCAAATTTTCTGGCAATTTAACACTTCCCTTTAAAAAAATATAGCTGTCCAACAAAATGAAAACGTGTTTAAAATTTCAGTGGTTAATATTGTTGTGAGGTGCTATAGATGTGTGCAACTAATCCAAATTGTCTTTTATTAAATTTCAGTGGTTAATATTGCTGTGACTTGTGAGGTGCTATAGATGTGTACAGTCATTTTCTTTCTTCCTCAACATTTTTGTTTCTTTCTTTATGGTAATGGTAATTAATTAATTAAACTTCGACGTTCTGAGGTACTTTATGTCCAACCCCCATAACACTGACAAGTGACAATATTTTTATTTTCAATGGTCTTCTAAATCCGTATAGCGCACCGCAGGTGTTAACACTCCTAACAATATTTTTTATTTTTTTTCATGTGAATAAGACTTGATGATATTAAATTTTTTTAGATTAAAGTTACTTCACTTTTATACCTAGCAAAACAATACTCCATCTCCCTCTGTCCCTAATTACTTATTCATTTTTGAATTGACACACCTATTCAAAAAATAATTATTAAAATAGT